CACCTTGCCTTGAAAACTGCAAGGACTCGTCCAAGCAGTCACTGCAGAGTCGGTAACGACTGAGCACAGATTTAAAAAAAAAACAAAACCTGACAATCCTACCAATAATGCTGCTATGGCATTTAGTGGGTTTTTGAAATAAAAGCTGAGGAAGAAAAACCTTTCCAGGAATAGTTTCAGGACTACTCAGAAGCTACTATCCCTATATTTTGCTAGCAGTGTAAAATAGAACATCTTCAGAGAAGGACTGAAAGATCTAAATTGTTTTCACTGAAAATCTCCCAGATTAGAATGGAAGATACATTCTAATGTTCTCAGCTCTCCACTTACTAGCAATTGTAGATAGGCAATCCAATTCTATGCAAATTTATTCCAAAGAAAATCTAATGGACTTTACATCTAGCTCTAAACCGCATGTTAATGGAGGTTGGGGGCTTGTTTAATTAGCTATGCATTGAAAGTGTGCTGTACCACAGCAATGACTATCATTTTCTGTCATTTGTCGGTTTTGTGTAAGATTCAAAAGAAAGATTATATCAAAAACTCATTTATTTTCAGTACAGAAGTAGAAGATACGCTGATTTCAACAAACGGAATCTTTCATTTAAATTAAAAAGCTTCAGGCATATTCTGATTTTACACATTTTATTATCGAGAGAAGTGTAAAATGAGAGGATACCGAGTGCCAACAATGAGATGCATTTGGTTTTAGATATGCGAGCACTTGATATACATACTTAAAGACTTTGTGTTCCTCTCTGCATCCATGCAGCCAGCCAGCAGCTTACTGGATTTTGTTTTGCTTTCCTTTTTAAAAAATTTGCAAGTTTCTCTTTCATTGCCTTTAAAAAACTAAATGTTCAAGACTAAATTTGGTCATGCAGCACTTCAAGATTCCCTGGAATGTCCTCAGGTTTCAAACTCCTCTGATGGACATCAGCTCCACCTCCTGTCTTGTGTGATTGGCTTCCCTACTCTCGGCTGGACTGCTGTCACTTTTCATTGGCCAGCTTCTCTACATCTGCATGGCCAGTATAATCCAGGCTGTAGAGAAGGTTTGGTTTCTGACACATAACATTTCAACACCTCTACAGTATCAGAAAGAAGAACCCGGCTTTACAGAAATCCTAACTCTCTGGGGATTTCTTAGCTTGCTTTTTCATAGATACACAATCACATATACTCACATATATCGCCTCTTGCAAGCTGCCGTGTCCTCTTGCAAGCTGCCGAGATGTCCAGAGTAGCCAAATACCGGCGGCAAGTCAGTGAGGATCCAGATATTGACAACTTACTGTCCACTTTGTCTCCAGAGGAGATGGAGGAGCTAGAGAAAGAGCTGGATGCATCCGAGACAGATGGGAGCATCCCGGTGGGCCTCGAGCACGTGGGCGAAACTGACAAGCCATTGAGTGGCAGGTGCAAGCGAGAGGAAACACTCAGCTCTCGGGAAAAGGAGACCAAGAAACATACTCCGAAGGAGCAGTCAGTGAATGTAAGTTGCTCTATGGGGAAGGAGTGCTGGCATGTGGGGAGGGGGAGTAATGCTAGCCATAAGTTATGGCTAGGACCATATGGCTTGTTAAGCTAAAACACCGCATTTTAGTTTTGCACAACGTGCAAACCTAGTCAGAAAGGCAAAAGGAGGAGATTGTTCTTCCACAGTAAAATGCAACTTATATTCTATTTTTTATAAACTAGATCAGTACAACATGAGCTATAAGTTTATTGTTTTTCATTGTCACAAATATTTTCCTAGAACTTTGCTGGATAAAACAATGAATGAGTTTACACCTCCTACTAATTCATGTGTGCTTCATCATGCTTACTGAGTCAATCACAATGGCTGGGTTCATACTTTGTGTAAAGTCAAAATGATACAACATTATTAACATGAGTGAACCCTGTCACAGAGCAGTTTCCTAGTTTCTTGAACTTTGAAATATTTGTCTGATGTAAGGAAGAGAAGGTCATTCCCTGTTAGGTTGGGCTGGTGCCCCAAAACTGTTTCTGGTTCTAGCTTTCCAATTTTGGGAATCCAGTCTTAATGCTTCTGTGGCTGTACCAATAATATCTGAGAGCTAACTTGGTTGCTGCAGGAGATAAGATGGGGAAGGTTACCCAACATTTGCTGGGTTTGTGAAAGTCATAATTTGCTTTAAAGATGACATGTAGAACAAGCTTTAGTAGCCTAGTGCCCACAATGGTAAGCCTTAAACTATGGTTTGAACCCACAAAAACTAGGTTCATATATCACTGTAAGTCAGAATCAAATCACATTGTGGATTAGTGGCATGAGTTAACCCAGTGGTTAGGATTTGTAAAGGCATGGTTTACAGTTTAGCATGTTGGGCAAATCTAGTCTATTCTAACATTCAATAAACTATTGTTAAACAAATGAAACAAATCCAACCACTATTTACTGCCCTTGCCTTTTATAGCAGCTAATTCTAAACAATATAGGGGATGTGTTTACATAGTATGCAAAGCCAAAATGTGTTTTAATCGTTTGAGGTTTAGCATTTCATGTGAACTGTGTTGTTTAAAAAGCCATGGCTTAGAGTGCTTATACCATTCCCAATCCTTCCAAAGACTAGAAAAAAGTGAGTTAACTACCCTTGTGGTTCCACAATATGCTTATTTAAGTTTGATAAAACCATGCTTTACTAATCACCTGCATTTGCAGTCCACCGTGAATATAAGCTGCCACATGGTCTGGGTTCATACAAATAGACAAATGCATTTTAGCCTAGTGTTTTGTTCAAGTCTAGCCTATATGTCATGCCACCTGACAAGGAATGATGGGAGGTAAGCTGTATGCTATGTTTATAAATGTGCCAAACCATGTTTAGCTTATCTATGATTATTAAATAAATCACAGTTGGCTAAATTCATCCAAAACATTAAGCATACAGTAGATTATTAACCGTACGTTTTTGGCTTAGCATATTACGTGAACTCAGGCTCTGTATTATTACGTTCCTTGAGAGGTGAGGGCAGACCACCTTCTTTGCCTCACCAGCAGCACCAGTTGCTTGCCCATCACAGTGTAGAAATGCAGGTGGGGATCTACCCTGTACTAAAGGGATCCCATGGCGAAGAGAAAGCCTTAACTTGCAACAAGCAAGGCCGGTTCTGTCCATAAGCGTAACGAAGCAAATGCTTCAGGTGGTGGACTGGGAATACCAGCCCAATTGAGACAAGCTAAAAAAAGAAAAAGAAAAAATCCAAGGCCAGGTCACTCTTGGCTGTCCCAAGACATTTTTTTGCGGGAGGCAAAGGATAAGATTGTCAGTATGTCCGCATGACATACTGAGCTACACCACATGTTATTCCAGCACATAGTCTGAGTTTATCCCATGTGTTAACAATTCACTGAAAACTTAGAAAATTGGGATAATTTCATAGCCATAGTTTGGTTAAACCAGGAGGTAGTGCATTAGGTGAACATAATGTTTATATATATATTCTTTCTTCTTCATGCACCTGTACAAACTGACCAGGACCTTAATTCTGACCCCACTGCTGATGATGGGAGTGTGTCCTTCATCTCACCTAAACACAACAGGTTAACCCAGGAGAGTCCCATTTTTTTAATTTCACGGAATGGCAGGCCAGCTGCCACCATGCTCACTGATAACACCTAGCCTCTGGCACCTGAAATGACTGGTTTTGGTTGCTCCCCAAATTTGTAAATTTCATCCCTGAAAAAATTACTGCAGTTTTTGAGGATATTTTTCATGTTTTCTCTTTCTCTCATACATATAGACTTAGGCTGTATTCACATTACATGTTGAACCACCAATTAGACACATTTTAGCCAAAGATGTTGCACGATCTCCTCTGGTGTGGCTAGTGCTGTGTGAAATCAGGTTAGTTGAATATACCATGGTTAAGTTAAATGGGGGGAGCATGTAATGAGAACACAGCAATAGGTACATACATCAAATGATGAAAAGAAGCTGGGCTGTAGTTCTGAAGGAGTTTTGCTTGGATACACAGATGACCAGCAAACTACCTCTGGGATTTTTTTTGAAGGGGTTAAAGAATAATTTTAAAAATTCAGGGAAGCTTTATAAGGTTGGCTTGTTTGATCAAGGCTAAAAGAGGAAAATAATTATATCTGGTTGCTCTTACTGGACTTTTGCTGACAAAGAATGATTAATGAAGCATTTGGATTTTGTTTTATTTTTTACCTAAGAAATGAGTTATGGGGAGAAGAGTGATTATGTTTTATTTAGAGATGGTGATAAGCTGTTAAAACTGTTTTTACCTGCCGAGATGAAGGGGGAAGTTGCTTTTTCTTTCTTTCTTTTTTCTTTTCTTTCTCTTTCTCTTTTTCCTTTTCCCTTTTTTTTCTTTCCTACAATCCCTCTCCCCCCCCTTTTTTGTATTTGTCTGTTTGCATTTTTTGTAGTTTGTATTGACTTTTATTCTTTTATAATTCTTAATAAAATTATTTGAAAAAAAAAAGCTGGGCTGTATATTTTGGCTCAGATATAGATGTGAGAGACCTGCAAAGCTCTGCCCAGCTTGTCTTGCAAGAGGGTGAGTGGATGCAGCTGTCGCCAAGTAAAATTTGGCAGAGGGATAGGAAGAATAAGTCCTTTGTAGAAAGTATAGGTTTCCTTTTGATATAATACAAGAAATAAAATTTGGTTGACTTTTTCCAAAAAGTAAGTTAGAATTTCTGCATCAATCAGAAATACAGTATGCAAAAGTATTTTCTCTTTATTTCTCTAAAATCTGCTAGAATGTTAATATATTTTGGAAAGCTTACCCCCTTACAGCTCTATTTTACTTTGACTTATTGCCATGTGCGAATGATACGCTAAGTTGCTATACTTGGTGAAAGGGATCATGCCTTTCTCCAGTTTAACTAGCCATCTTCCTTATTCCACACAGCTCTTTAACCAAGGGCTGAGGCTTACCTCTGATTAAGTATGTTATGCAAATGCAAAATAACAATTCTAGTTAGCAGGAACTGGGGGGATAATTTCAGATCCAGTTCTTGCTAACAACCTGTTCCAATTCAAGTGTTTATGGAAAATAAAAGCACAAACTTAAAAACATGCGTGCCAGTTTGTTGTTTGGTTTTGCTGGCTGATTGGAAAGGCCAGGACAATAATAACAGACATTATGGTATTTCAGTGGAATGATCTTTCTTGAAGATCATTTTTCTGTCTCACCCTAGAGGTCAACAGGAAGCATCTTGAATGTGAAAGTTTGTGAAAACCAAGGAGACAAGCAGGAAGCAAAGTAGACCATACACTTGCCCTTCAGAATTTGTGGCCCACTAAGCTGAACTGAATTATGTATGTATTATGTATGCCAGTAATAGTAAAGTGTTCTTTAAGGTTCTAGTGCTCAGTGGCTGGTGAATTATCTTTGCTTTGATGAGTCACAAGCTCTTTGATTCATGCATAGGACAGGCCTCCAGACAGCTTTAGACCTGTACGTAGTTACGGAATGTTTCTCTTTATCCCAGCCTTACCTAGCCTGGTGACTGGGAATTAAGGATTTTGTTCCAACACATCTAGGGGGCACTAAGTTGGAATAGACTGCTTTATTTGTTGGAGAAGAGTTATCCTCTGTGTAGATTAAAGGACACTGGGGATGAATCTTTGCAAATTAGGAATCAAAGGTCCTACATAGGTTTGTTAATGGAGCACGTAACTGCACATTCTGAGATAAATATTGCTATAATGAGAAATAAGCAATTTTAGAAAAATAAGCAAAATATGTGATTTTTTAATGGATAATTTAAATGTTATGGAGGATTTACATCTCTCTGACAACATGAAACCTTTTCTCTGAAGCAGGCCTTCTTAAATACTGTGCAAGTACACAAGTAGTTCAATCTAAATGAAATATTTAACCATTGTGGCCAAGAATTAAATCCCATTTAGTGGCTAAAGCACTGTAGAAGCCTTTGACAGACTTGTCTATTCAACAAATTCCAAATAAAATACCCCATTTCACTTATTTGTTTTTAACATTTTCAAGGAAGGAAATCCCGGGTCAGAGTGTAACAAGAGATACAGATTTCTCAAGCTAAGATAAAGAAAGATCTCTATTATTAACATTTACACATGTTAAAACATTGTTTGGCATCAGGCCTCTTTGAGTGAGGATTGCTATCTTACTTATTTTGATGTTCTGTTCTGTAACGCTGAACTGTGGGAGACGAACTAGTTGGCCAGTGGTCAAACTCTCTACAGTAGTAAATCTGTTCTTATAGATCATGTTGCAGTAAAACGATATTGCTGAGCCGACTCTCTTTTCTTTCCATCTCTAGAGAGAAGGAGAAAAAATATCCTGTCCATTCCTTTTCTCTTCCTTGGGCTTGTTAGTAGCAGATGGATTAACACTTCTGAAAGCAGCAGCAGGAAGGCTACCGTGGCCAAGTTTGTTGACACATAGCAATTCCCCATATGGGGAAAACAAATCACCCGATCCCAGTAGTTCTCTACATTCTTCCATAAGGAGACTGAT